TTTCTAATTCAGGTAAATCAAAGTTTTTTATTTTGTTTATTTTTAAATGCTGTTGCTCTTTATTTTGAGATGTTCTTGTATTCGTTTTGATACGTGATGGCTTTTGTTTTTTAAATAATGTTTGCATGACCGCAGTGTTCATTGGTCTCGCGAATAATATGTCTTTCATTTACTATTCTTAATTTACTTATTTTTATTTGTAGAAAATGATATATAGGAGTAGGTTAAATCTACAGAAAAAACTAGCCAATGAACTATTACTAGATGGGCAGAACTCAGTTACTCGCTTACTGTGTGTACCATTCACATTCCTTTCGCTCGTTAGTGAAACAGATGCTGTTGCAAGAACTTTTGCTTCTGCTATAGCTTTCCTTGAAGGGTTTAGTACTGAAAGCTTAGAAACCGATATAAGTATTGAACAGAATGCTCTTGGACACTATTCATTTCATAGCAAGGTGAAATTTGTTCCTTACCGATCCACTATAGAATCTCGATCTTCACAACAATCTACTCCGATGGATGTTTTGCCCAAACCACTAAGTGATCCAAGTTCTCAAAGGTCAACCATTGCTCAGAAATCATGGAATGAAAAACACATAGATCTAGAGCTTAGAGAAGCGATCGCATTTCCATTTTTGCAAATTGATGGTGCCATTGACACACTATTGAGACGAGCTGATGCGCTCTCTGCTGCCAAAATAGTTATTGAATTCTGCTCTGAAGCTGGCATTTTAGTTTCTTCTTCGACAATCATAGATATTTTCGAGCGCCTAAGGGCGGAAGACTATTCTCTTGCAAATCAAATAGTTAAGCAATATGAGGCCGAACTAGAATCACTTCCCAATATGAGCGATATCTTAGGAATGAAATATTTTTCTTTCATGAATGATGATATTAACTCTTCTAAATCTAATAGTATTGAGAAGCATACTAGGCGTTCTAGCAAACTTCAGCGAATAAGAAAGCCAAAATGAGATATAAAGTGTAGTATTACTATCATTTGCCAAACACAGTGCTCTTTTTTCTTTACTTGAATATATATGTCTTTTCAATATACTTTCGTAGCGCATATTCTGATAAACATGCTTGGGATTTATTTTCTCAAAATATGATATCTGATTCTCTATATTGACGTTTATTTAGTCTATAAGGTTATGCTAACATATACATATCGCCCTTGGTTATTACTTTAGGGATTTTAAGAAATATAATGAGTGGAGAAAGTATCTACAATCTTCTTTCTATAGAAGAACCAGAACTCCAGGAAAGTTATCCTTACACTGGATCTTACAAGAAACACCTAGAAGAGCCGTCAAAGCCGTCATACTCTACCTTTTTTGATAAAAAAAAACACTACGATGCTACACACGTGCGTTTTTTCAAACAGAGGGATGCAGTAATAGGCAAAAGTGTGGGTGATACTATTGATCCTAAACACTTTTTAAACAAGAGGAAAGGCGTTCACACCGTTATTTCCCCTATTTCTAAAGAAAAAATCTACCGTAAACCTCTTTTTGGATCGGAGGTTCTTCCTAATAAGAGCAATCTTCAGAAATCCGGTTTGTCTTATTCCACTGAGCATCATGAACTTCATGATAAGAATCACTTGTATGATAATCACAATAATGATTCATGTAATTCTATAGAACATGCTTACGATGGCTATGATGAAAACAAAAAAAGTTATGATGATATTTTAGCTGTAGCAGGGGGAGAGGCTGCTGATACACTAGTTTCTTCATTCAAGACTAAGAAGAACTTTGTTAAATCGAACATTGTGGAAAGTTGCATGGTACCAAAGCGTATGAAAGATCAGCCTCAATTCGCCACTGACCGTAAGGATTTTGGCAAAACGCCAAAATACTTATCTAAAGTTAAGGAGGATATTGAAAAGGAAAGGGAACATTATAGGCGAATCGAAAGCTATAGGGCGAATCGTCAACAGCAAATACGTAATCAGTATGTTTACAGACTGGATGAAACTGAAAGAAGAGATCTTGTTTCAAAACTGAGCCAGCTACTCGCAGAAAAGGGAAAGGCTCTTAATAAGATTCCATTTTTAAAAGCGTCTGCTGTAATTTCCAAGAAGAAAAGCGAACTTGAAAAGTCGATGATGGATATTGAAGTAGCGTTAAAGAAGCTCGAAAAAGAGGCTATTTTTGTATACCGAAGTGATCCAGCATACGAACAAGTGTGTAAGAATGCTGCGCTTGAAGAAGCAAAGAAATTTGCGGCTTCTATTTAGATTAATTTTCTTTACTAAATATATGTATTTAAATCTTAACTCAACCTTTATGTATAGTTAAGTTCCGAAATGTTTTTTTTTCGTGTATACAGGACTATTGGTACAAATCTTTATATTTAATCCATAAAGTATAGAAGTTTTTTTTTCAAAAATTATCTGAAATGCATTTTTTTATTCCATTTTTTTTTTGTTACTCTCTATCTTTAGCTTGTAGTTTTTGAGTTTTCAAGTTGCTTAAGTAAAAAAAAAGTAAGAGTTAGTTCACTTATTCATTAATTATTCACAATGTTACTAGCTTTTACTCTTATGGTTCACTCTAATCCTTTTATTCTTTAGTAAAGTTTATTATTCATAACTAGTAAATCAAAGAAGTTTCGAAATGTTCTCTTTTCAATTCATATTTTTGTTTCTGAATCGGATACCAGAGTGCACACTAATCGATTTCATTACTTCCTATAAAATATACGGGGCTTTCATTTAATCCATTTTTAATGTTCCTGATCTGTTACTTCATTTTGCTTTTTTCAGTCTGAAACACTTAGTAAATACCATGGCTTACTCAATTAGCAGCTTTGGTATACTATCCGATTCTTCCTACGTTGCAATGTCTAGTGATTTGTGCAGAACTTTGAGACTTATTCGAAGAGCCGATTGAATATAGCACTATCCATAATAGTAGAACTTGCATCTATTACCGGATGAAGATTACCTTTTATTAGGATCACTTATATGAGTAGAACCTTGCGTTTTCGTAACAATTGTGAGGTTTTACACAACAGCTTGTCTTAAATAACTGTATCCATCATTCGAATAATCTTTTTTTTACATAAATACATTGTAGCGTTAGAGGTGAATTGCCACCCTGGTGTTTATACTGTTTCTGCCTGTTCGAAGACGATTTGTGTTTGCTATATGGATTTACCAGGCATTATATTACATTGTATAAGCAAATGACATTTCAATTTGTATCCTTAGGAACTATAGTTTGCATAAGGATTCAGTGATGGTGGAGACATATTTAATGTCAAAATGGAATCCGTGCAAATTCGAATACCCGGAACATTTCTATATGGAATATATTCACTCTCTATATTTACTATCATCTATACTAAATAATTGGTACAGTAGTCTTCATTAGTGTCCATATTAGTGTAATCAACTTTGCTTTATACGGTCAATGTTAATATCATACTCCACGATTACGTTTGTCTGATCCAAGCTTCTGTTGAAGACCATTAAAAGTTTTTTGCATGTAAATTTACCTTTAAGATATTATAATCATCCATTACTTATCTTAAATATCCTCATATATTATTTCAGCTTTTATTTCGTACTTTAGATGATAAAAGTTTGCGTCATCTGTGTGCAATGCCAAGGCATATTTGATTAATTATTCTTGTGGTTGCGATGGATTGATTTTTACTATATTTATTACTTTACGATAATTGCACTAATGATTTTGTTTTCTCTCGGATTCTTATTATTAAGAATTTATTTCCCCGTTGGAATTCATCATTAAGCGCTTACGCTTTTTCATTTTATAATATAGTATCATTCAAGGTTTGTTTAGTTATTTTCTAAATTTGATTATGTACATTTATATTCCCACGAATACTGTGGTGTTATATAATTGAATTACGTTATCCTGGAAAGTAAAAATCAGATTAAATAGCAGTTAAACCAGATGTTTTCGCATAGAAAAAGTGCTATGGCATCTGACATAACAGTATGCAGATGGAGTGTGATGTTAGAATACGAAAAGTCGGATGTAATTCTTTATATTCTTAGATACATCAATGGCACACTCTTTCGAAACGATCCGCTTAAGCTTTCGGAGAGAGAAGAAATACGTAGTGACTCAAGTTCGAACATGCCAACAGTTGAAAAAAGACTGCTTCTGCATGGCAGCGTTAGTTACAGTCGGAAAGATATCTTTCTATCTCTCGTTCGTACTATACGCCTTAAACGAGTTGATGATTTTGCGACGAGCGTTTCATTACAATATATGGTAGGGGATGAGCTTCCTGATTGTTTTCTAGAGCCACTCGTAGTTTCTTCTCATACAAAAAGCTTTTTGAGATGGCATCATGTGGCGTTAGCCACTAAGTATGGGATTACTAAAAGAATGCAAACTCGAATAGAACGAGTTAAACAGAGAGTCGAAAAGATCCTAAATAGCTCAATCACTGGAGACACATTAACATTTGAATCTAGCGTAAATGATGATTCTGGGCAATTTACCAGTATTATTCCAACCGATCGAGAGAAAAGCAAGGATGATCAATATAGTTGGAATTTTTCGAAGTATGTTGCTGCCTTAGAGGGGAACCAGATTAACATTAAGCAAATATCAACCTCTGTCCCAACGCTATTTGTTTTGTGGTCATGTCAGGATATTGAGTGTATCGAGTGGCTCAGGAAAACTATTTTCAATAAAAAAGCAGGGAGTTTTCACTCAGAAACAAGCGTTGATTTTGTCCAGGAAGACGATACCTTTGAAGACAGTTGGATGGAACTGATGAAGCAATACACAACAATTCCCGAACGGGAAGCCAATCTCACCGAAAAGGGAAAAATAGATGGATTTAAATCCCCCAAGCGAGCTCAAATTATTCTCATTAACGTTGATCGAAATGTAGACGAGGCGCGTGCGCGTTTTACTGATTTGTGCTGGTTCTCTTCTGTCAAGAGCAGTTCGGAGGTTTCCCTAATCTCCCTCTGGTCCGGTGTGGAGGGTCTACAGAGCGAGATCTGCAATATGTTTAACCCTATTTCGCTTCCTTTCCTTATCGTAACGAATCCTGTTAGAAAGCGTAGCTTCATCTCCTCCCACTTTCGAACCCGCCCATACATTACACACCTCACCTCCCTGGTCGCCACAGTTGAGGATTCCAAAAACAATGAAACAGACTATTTACTCGCGCAAAGTAACGCTTCGCACTGGAGCAAGCTCAGCTCGCAGCATCGTCTTACGTTTTCGAATCGGTTGTGTGGCTTGATTTTTCAACTTAATTTGCCAATGTGCTTCTACGCCAAAGTGGATCACGATTATAGGATCATTAACCCCTATACAGATATTTCCACGAAGGCGATTGAATCCAACTGTACATCGCTGGTTTCACTTCATGGGCAGATATCTGATCGCGACATGTGTTCTGTAGCTACAGCCATAGAACCATTTATAGGCTTAGCGGACTTTTGTTTTCATGTGGACATTGTGAAATGTTCAACCTCTTTAAACATCAATCAAGACTCTATTCTACCTGGTTATTATACCCTTTTAAAGAACAAAATTATATCTTGCACGCTGTGCTTCCGATCTATAGACGTGTATACTTCCCCGCTTTACCGATGTCTTCACTGTGTGCAGCGATGTGGGGTAATATGCCAAAACTGCTTTCAAAACAACAGTTCTATATTCGTATCGCGACGGCATCCTCCGCATCATATCTTCGCTAGGATTCCACCAGTCGTATGCTCCATAGCCTCCATCCCTGTGATGTGGGGACCGAGCAACGTCTTTCCCCTTCAGCCTCTCCCTCTTTTTGCTTCTCAGGCCCCTGATACATCAGGTACGATTCATCTTGGGATTTATTGCGATGAATGTCAGGAAATGATCCGAGGCATTCGATGGAAGTGTGCCGTGTGCTATAATTTTGATTACTGTAATGACTGTTTTGAGAAGCACATTTTGAATGAGTTGGAGTTTATGAATGACTGTACGCATCCTCCCAGCTGGGTGGAAAGAAATAAGGCTTTACATGCTTCTCCCTCAAATACTGTTAGGCGAGTACACGAACCTTCACACCCAATGCTCTGTATTCCTCCTCATTTTTATAAAGGCAAAGATGGTAATGATTTTTTGAAGCCTTTATCATTAAAACTATGGGATATTCTTTACTAGTACCTTTTTTTCCGCTATATGTACCTTACAAGATTATTTTCACGTGTTGCATTTTTTCCCTTTGCATGTAAATACTTACCGAAACGTTTTGTTTGCTTATACTTATAAATTGTAAATAGTGCATATTGGTTGCTTTAATTATTTATCCTTTTACATTATTTTTCTTTTATATGCTTATATCATTATCAAGTAGGTGTTTCGAAAGATGGTCACATAATTTCTCTGACAAATCAAAATACAAAATGAAGCGGATACCACAACAGTGAATTATTATCTCTATTCCGACTCTCTATTGTACCTATCATTGGAGTAGCTTTGTCTTGTTATGACTTGCCACTAGAGTTATTTTCAATCAAGAGAGGATGATTACTGGAAATTTTATTGGTGAGGCGCATATAGAAGAGTAATAGGATACTGCAACGGCGGTATTGCATCAAACAAGCATCAAACTTTAATTTGAAAAACATCAATATTATAGGATTACCATCGTGAATGATCAAATCAAATGACTATTAGTGTTTTTGTAAATTATAGTTCCTCATGGGCATCTACTTCTGGTATTACTTTGGGCACTAGAACAGTTTGTGCAGTGAAAAATATTGCACAGAAAGAGCTTACGTCTTGCTCATAATTTCTCTTACTCTATTTCCCTCCTTGTATTTTTTTAAACTTGTACCGAGTAACAAATTGCTAAAACTGAAGAAATGCCAATTGTGGTTTATATAGTTACATTTTTTTTTAATATTTATTTCGTTTTTGACCTTTTTTTAAAAGAATCACACTATATTTGAAGAGTGATTTTTTCACGAGTTACTAAAAATATTTCGTAGTGTAATCATGCAAAAGAATCAATCAAAAGTGACAAAGGGGGTTGCGGCACTCAGAGATATCAAACAGGCCGAAACCGAGGCAATTCTGAAATTTGGCAAGCTTATTTCGTTAGATATTGATATAGAACACACAAGACACCTTAATTTACAGAATAAAGGGATTCACACGCTGCCTTTACGCCTTAATACTGTTCTGCGTGAAGTACGCAAGCTAGATTTATCATTGAATCATATTACCGACATGTCGCCACTCTCTGTACTGCCTTACCTCAGCAATTTGAACCTATCCAGAAATCCTGAATTACACACTTTGAACCGCCTAAATTGTAAAAAACTTGTAGTTTTATCTGTAGCGCATTGTGGACTACAATCTTTGTCTGGCCTGGAGGAAAGCTCCACGACGCTGTGTACACTTATTGCCAACGATAACAACCTTCAGCTTCAATCACCGTCTATTCTAGAGGTCAAGGATCCAAGGGATTCTCCTGAGAACAGTAAAGATTCTTCTGTAGTGGCTACGGCGGTTGAGAATTATAAAATTATAGCTTCTTTAAAGGCTCTCGAAACTGTAGTTCTGAGCCGCAACCCACAGTTGTGTAGTTTGTACTCGAATGATTGTGAAGAGACCGATGGGCCAACCAAAGGTTCTTCCAAAGCAGATGCAACGCATCAGGTGGGTAAGAGCAATGAATCCGATGATAAAAACGTCCCCAACGCAAAGGAGGAAGAAAGAGGACCGGGTGCGTATCCTTCTCGCCTTAGTTCGCACCCACTTGCCGTTTTCGAGGGACTTACTCGGCTTGTGAAGTTATCGTTGAGTGAATGCAACATCCCCAGCTTACCCGAACGGTGGTTTTTACCCCTGGTCACGGAGCTCCGTCTTGCCCATAACGCCTTAACCTCCCTCCAGCCCGAGGGCGTGATCTTGCGTTCGGTAAAGATTTTAGATATAAGCTACAACCGTCTAGAGTCAATCGCTACTCTACGTCGCTGTCTTTTTCTACGCCAAATAAACCTCAAGGGAAATCCATTAATCAATATTTACGTCCAGCGAGATCAGGAAGAGCGCATCGACGATGCCGAACAAACACCAACCAAAGCCCTTAACGTGGCGGAGGAGCAGGGAAAGGACAAAATTGTACCTCGTTCCCTCCAGAGGAGTCTTCTAAGAATGCTAAAGCACCTTCAACTGATTGATGGGCAGCCCATTCCCCCAATTGGTGAACTTATCATAAAGCGTCCACATTCGGTTAAAGAAGTTCTTAAGATTAGCAAAGATGAAAACGATTCGAATGGGAAGGGTGCAGAGGATATGACCGTTGAATCCATTGCTTCTGCCAAGAAAAAGTCTCGGAAAGAGGGAACTCGGAAGCAGAATGAATCAAACGTTGAAAAAATACAGAAGGAGTTGGATGAAAAAGATGTCGTGTTGAATATTCCAGAGATCAAAGAAACTCACAAGCCGATTGTGCGGCGGGAGAAGGTGCATCAAGTCCACAAAGCCGGTTTGATTGAGTCCGGCGGAGCTGCTGTAGCCGCTCTATTAAGACATTCCAATGAACCAGCCTCTTGGTAAAAATGTGAACACCTTTTTTCATAATTTTGATTTTGACTTATGCAACAAAATCATTATTTTTGAAAAAAAAACATTTTAAGAAGTTTTTAACTGTATTTTATTGTTAAATTAATATTGTTTTGATTAATGCGTATAAAGGAAAAAGTTTATTGTTTCTTCGCTTCTGATAGAATTTTGTCAAGGACTTTCTTTACGCTTGTGGGTGGTTTTCTCATAGCAACTATACTTTTTTTTTTAATACTCGTTTTTTTTTGTGACTTTATGCTTTCAAATGCTAGCATTTCAACATTTAATAGTTCAAGGGCAATTATATGCGTATGAATGGAAACCCAAATGAATGCTAAAATTTTTGATTATAAAGGAGTTTCTTAAAAATGCTACCATTGATGAATTATTTAAGTACATACTTATTCAGAAAAATATTCTAAGTTGCCCAAGTAGGCGTGTTGGATGTTTGGAAACAGCTCTGACGGATAAACTAATGTACCACCTTCTCTAAAAGCACTCTTTCAAACGATCTTACAATAAAGTGCATGCCTTGTAATACTATCTGATGACTGGTTCCTTCCTGCGCAACATCATTTTTTTGATGTTCACAAAACAAAAATAGGATTTTTATCATATTTGAATCCTGTACTTTGTTCTTTTTGAATGACAGTTGAGGCGTCTGCCGCGGTTACATTTTTTAAATTCGCGAATACTCAGTGGACACATATAAAGGCATCTTGCATAAGCTTTCCTGATATCATTTCCATAAAGTTTCCAACCATACGATTGCTTTCCCGAGAGATACATCACAAATAACTCTCCATAAAATATCAAAATCGTTTAAAGAATCGATGCAGAAACCAAAAGGAATTAATTCCTTTTCTTCTCTCTCCCCAAGTGTATCATTGTTCTTCACAAAATATCGGATTTCAAACTCCCGATGGCTTTATGTTGTTTCGTATCCTTCTTTTATATCTGTGTCTTTGCCTACCCTTAATAATGTTGCCTGAATCTTCATATAACGATTGATGTTGTTTTCTCTGCAGACCCATTATTATTCTTATACTCGATACCATTTAACCCTATTCAGGGGCATTTTAGAGTTCATTTAGTGTCTATTTCTATTTAGGTCATGGATTTTATCATCATCGCCTCTGCTCGACACGTCTCGCCGCCTCTCAAACTTTCGTCCGGCTGTCTAATAGTTTCCGCCTCGAAGGAAACCCAGCAGCGCGTGGGTCCGGGGGGGCGTCGCCGGGGGCGCAGAGGCCGGCGGCGGTTGTGCACGGAGGCCACGCCAGGGGAGCCGGGCCCGGGGCTGCGGATCTCCGGCCGGCGGCTGCGGCAGTTGTGCGTCGCCGAGCTTCGGGA